TGGTGTCTGCAGCTGCTGCCGTGGCTTCCGGAGCCTGGCCCCACTGATGTGCCACCTTCAACGCTGTCCCCAAGGAACTGCGACCCAGACCCAGCTGTCTCCCTCGTTGGCGGTGGCCCCTGCTTAGCTGGCCTGGTGTCCGTGGGCCCATGGTCTGAGCAGCCTCCCACTTGCCCCCCTACAGAAGTTGTCCTCAGAGAGGCCGAGCTCGGACGGGGAGGGCACTGCTGAGAATGGAGTGGCCGCCTGGAACGGGAAGGAGCCAGGTGAGTGCTGGGCAGTCGGTGGGATGCCTGGTGAACCCCGGGTCTTTGCCAGGTGGAGACCCCTCTCCAGTGGTCCCTGGCAGGGTCCAGTGAATCCCCACCCCCTGGGGGGCATAGGCCTGCATGGCTGCCTGCTCCTTCGGGCCGGCTCTCAGCTTGAGGTCATCTTTGCCCTTGTTGCCCAACACCGCCTGGCCTGTGCCATGCTCACAGTGGTTGCCTTGTCTCAGCCCGTGGCTGCAACCCCGGTGTCTGTCCGTCTCCTGGAGAGCCTGCCTCTCCTTCGCCGCCCCTCTGCTCTGCCAACTACGACGTCCTTCTCCAGGGACTGGTCTCTGCTGACAGCAAGTCCCAAGTCGGTGAGACACAGTCTCGCTACCGGGGCTTCTAGGCAGCCTCCTGACCGTAGTTCTTCCAGGACGGGTCTGTGGCTCTTTTGGCCGTCGGCGCGGCCGCACTCCTGGTACTCTTGGTTAGCTCCCCGGTCCAAACGCACCTGTTCTCCTTTGTCTTCCGTCCTCCGCATCCGGCCTTCACGTGCACCAGAGGCCATTGGTCGGGGTCATCTCCTGGCTGTGCAGCCCTGGCCCCTGGGGGCATGGAGGGCTTGTTCTCAGCTCACACCACGGGGCAGACCCCAGGAAGCAAGGCCTAGTGACCCATGCCCGTCGGGATTGCCGTCTTGGGGACCCTGTGGGCCCGGCTCTGCTCTGTCCTGTGGAGGGGGTTGCTCTGACCCGGGGAGGGGGCGAGACTCGCCAGGGGGTTGCAGTTATGAGTTAGCGCCTCTCAGGAGCCCTGGTGGTGCAGTGGTTAAGCAGAGGGTGGCTGCTCCAGGCGCCCTGTGGGAGAAGCATGAGGCTGTCTGCTCCCAGGAAGAGTGCCCACCTCAGGAGCTCAGGGGCAGATCCACCCTGTCCTGCAGGTTGCTATGAGTTGGCCGCAGCCCCCAAGCTTCCCTGCACCCAGTGTTGCTGCAGTGTTGTCCGTGTGACTCCACACGAGCTGGTGGGATGGGCTTTCCTGTGGTGTCAGGACTTGAACCCAGCACCACAAGGCTGGCTGGGTCCGGAGTTTTCTCCTTCCGTCACTCCTCTCCTCCGAGCCACGATGCCTATGTCCTCTCCTGTCTCGGCTGACCATACACTGGCTCAGTCGCCCACACAGATGTCGAAGCGCTGCAGGCCTGTCCTCCCTGTGTCCGGGTACCCTGGACACTGGCCGTGCTGTGTGGCAGCTGCCCAGTCTCTGCAGGGTTGCCTTTGTAGAAACATCATCGTCGGTTTCTTTTTACTTGCTTTGGCCTCTCTAGCCCCCTGAGGGTGAGGAGCCAACATCTGCTTGTCATGTTCCCCTTGTGGGCTTTCTGAGTAGCTGAGGGGGAGAGAGGCGCCTCCTGTCTCCCAGACCCCCTGGGGTGGCTGCCTGTGTCTGGCCTTGGGGAGACACAAGTCCAGACCCGGGCCTTAGATGGGTGGGTTTCCTCCATGCCGGCAGTCCCAGGCGTCCGGTGGAGCTGGCCCTACCCACAGCCCTGCACGGTGTGTCCTACCTGTGTGCTTGCATCTCTGTCTGCGTGGTCATCAGGTGGGTTCTGACTCACACAGGCCCCGTGGACAACAGGGGAGGACACTGCCCAGCCGGGGCCAGCCTCACAATTCCTGTTAAGTCTGAGCCCCTGGTCACTGCCACTGTGTCCACCCCTCTCCTTGAGAGCCTTCCTCTTGCACGAGCTCCTTCACGTAGCTGGCCCCTCTGTGTTTGCACAAGCGTGTGTAACTGTGTGTGTGCATGTGCTCCCAGCAGCCTGTCCCCTTGGGACTTGCTGTCCTGTAGCGTGTGTGTGTGTGTGTGTGTGTGTGCGCTCTTGTGTTTGCATGCACGTGCATGCGTGTGTGCTCCCAGAAGCCCATTTTCCTGAGACACCCTCCCCTATTGTCTGTGTGTATTTGTGTGCGTGTGTACATGTGTGTGTGTTCCAGCTGCTGGCTCTTGAGGCCCTCTTCCCTATTGTCTGCGTGTGCATGTTCTTGTGTATATGAACATGTGTGCATGTGTGTGCAAGGCCCCAGCAGCCTGCTCTAGGGGACCCTCCCTCTATTGTCTGTATCTATGAGCGTGTGTGTGTGTGTGTGTGTGTGTGTGTCCCCAGCAGACCACTCAGGGGGGCCCTCCTCTACTATGTGTGCCTGTGTGTATGTGCGTGTGTTCGCGTGCACCCCGCATATCCCCAGCAGCCCGGTTTCGGGCTTCCCCTCCCCCAGCTGGCACTGGCAGCCTT